CTGGACCGAGAGGTGGCCTGGACACCACCTCTGCTGCTCTCGGGGCCCATCGGGTACCCACCCTCAGCTGCCGGGACATAGGCCTACCCAAAACCCTCCAGGGATGAGGATGCTGAGCTGGCCTAGGGGCTCTGGGCCAGCGCAGCTGACCGCACAGGCACTGTCCCAGCATCTGCGCTGATCTATTTTTGTCTATATTGAGTAGATTTTTGGTGTCGGAGGTGGAACTGGAGCTTGCTCCATCCACTCCATGCGCTGCCCTGGTACACCAGGAGCCATGCAACAAACAACTAACGAACAAGAAACTGTCCCAGCGTGAGCCAGGGGCTCCTTCTCTCCCCGGCACTCACTCGGTCTGCGCCCGCAGCAGGATCTGGTGCTTCAGGCTCTGGTTGTCGAAGAGCTGCAGGTGGAAGATCTGCCCCGGGATCCCCTGGAGCTTCTTGCTCAGGTCGGTCACTTTGAGCTCGGGCATCTTGGCGTGAACGAACACGGCAAACTTCCCCGTCCTGCGGGCGAGGAGCGACAGGGCCCGCTCGGTGCCTGCGATAGCACCGAACCGGCCGGGCTCTCCGGGCAGAGCTGAGTATCGCCAGCATCTGAGATAACCCCAGCTGCAAACACCTCATGGGCATCTAATGCCCCATGGCCAGCACCCCTGTGACAGAGATGCGCCCTGTCCCGGGGGACTCGAGTGGGGGTGCCAGGTTGGAGAGGGCTAGGCTGGTCCACGCTGCCACCCTGCTGCCACCCCTCTGCTCCCTTGGCCTTGTGCCAGGCTCTTACCTCCCCGGGGAGCCCCCCAGGACCCAGACCCACGCCCCAGCTCTCACTCCTTGCGTCGGGACAGCAGGAGACAGTCGTTGAAGAGGTGCAGGTACACGGTGCGGGTGCACAGCTTGAACTTGGAGGCGAACGTGCTGAGCAGCGGCACGTCCACTTCCACCAGCTCCCCGTGTTTCACGAGCCAGCGCGACTGGGAGATCAGCGGGAAGATCTGGGGGGGAAGGGAGGAGGGGGGGAATCAGGCCCGTGGGTCCCGGGAGCTCAGAGCAGCGTGTGCCGATTGCCAGCGGGAAGCAGCGGTGCCGTGGGCGCTTTGGGAGCCTGCCGCCCTTGAACTTGACACCGAATAGCGAGAGCTGGGAGCTGCGCGCCAGCATGTGCGGTACCCATTGCCCCAAGCTGGGTCCTGGCAGGTCCCACCCGATACCTGACCTGAGTGCAGCCCCTTCGGGCAGGGACAGACATACCCGAGCGCAGGGGTGCGTGGCTGGGTGGGCTTGTCTCTGCAAGGCCCCAGTCCTTGCTGCTCTCCCCGCAGTCGCTGCCTTGCAAGAGATGCCCGGTTCTTTCCCCAGGCCCTGCCCTATGCCGGGGGGAGGGACAGTCACAGCGCTCACCTTACTCTCAAAGTGGATTTTCTTGTTCAGGTGAATGAGCTCCTCTGTCCTCTTCATGGAGCGGACACTGGCGTTGCACTCCTTCACCAGCTGCGGGGAGACGCGTCTCTTAGGGGCCTGCTCGTTGCTCCCATCCGGCCAGCAGCCCCCACGGACCTGGCCCCGGCGTCCCCTGATTGCTGGTGTCTGGGGGTCTCCCACCCCAGCCTCCACAAAGGCAAACTAGAGCTGCCCCAGGCTCTGGTGGGGTCTCACCCACGTGTCCAGGGATGCAGCGATGCACCCACAGGCCCTGCTCCGCTCCGCCGTGCCCTCCCACCGCACCGGAGCAAGCGCCCAGGGACTCGCCGCCAGGCCGGCAGGGACGGGCCCTGTACCTTCTTGAGCTCGTTGAAGGCTTTGGTGGCCGTGTCCTCATCCCGGGAGCCCTGCGGGGTCCGTTTCAGGATGTTCTGCAAGCAGGAGACGTCGGGACCTGAGCTGCCCAGAATGTGCGTGGGATCCGACCGGCACCGCGCCCGTGATGGGACATCCCTCCCGTGCGCCCAGCCCCAGCTTCGCCCAGCGAGACCCACTGTGATCCAGGCTCTGCATTTCCCCCATCGCTTTGCACCATCCCAGTGTTAGGGAGATGCCAGAGCCCAGCCACCACCGTTGCAGCACAAAACTCTCAATTCACCTATTGCACACGGACGGTTTTGTTCCAAAAACCACCCAAAAGGCCTGAAAATCACAGAAGCCTAGTGAGCTCGGGCTGCAAGGGAGCGCCAGTGGTCGCAGCTAGTCTAACCCTGCCTGAGGCAGGATCAGCCCTGTCCAAACCATCCTACACACATCCATCCTCTAAGCTCTTCACTGCTACTAGGGTCTGCTTCCCAGGCCAGCGCTCCCCTTCTCTGCCCTGCCCGTCCCCTGCTCTGTGTCCCAGGAAACCTCCCTCGGGGGCTTGGCCACATCGACCCGGCGGGGGCAGGGCTCACCTCCACCAGCATCTTCAGGCGCATGATTCTCTGGAAGGGCAGGATCAGGAAGGACGTGAGGGGCAGGCGCTGACACACGGGCCCCTCTTCCAGCTTGGCCAGGATGCCTGGGAACTTGGCGTTGTCCTGCCTGCAAAGACAGGGCATTGGGAGGGTCCCAGGAGGTGCAAAGAGAGCTGGGTGC